ATCGATAAAATGTGGTTGATAGTTTAATTTCTGAATAAGATTGCAACCATCCACAGTCAAATTACAATGCATTTAATAGGAATGTTTTGTAATATTTTTTTGGAAATTGAGTAATACTGTGCATAGCTGTTAAATGCTTTGTGGACATATTGATTGCTTACTTTCATATATGAATGTGTTACTCTATGTTACTGGTGTTTCCTTGGAGTGGGGCGATCTGAGTATTACAGATGTCCTTGACTTACAATCATTCATTTAGTGACCATTCAAAGTTATAATGGCACTAAAAAGTGACTTATGACTGTTTTCACACAACCTTTGCAGCATCCCCATAGTCACGTGATCAAAATTTGGATGCTTGGTAACTGACTCATATTTATGACCGTTGCAATGTCCCAGATTCAAGTGATCCCCTTTTGCAACCTTCTGACAAGCAAACAGGAAAGCCAGATGCATTTAACAACCGTGTTACTAACTTAACAACTGCAGTGATTCATTTAACAGCTGTGGAAAGAGTGGTGGTAAAATGAGGCAAAACTCACTTAACAGCTGCCTCACCGACCAACAGAAATTTTGGACTCAGTTGTGTTCGTAAGTTGAGAACTACCTGTACAGGAGCAAAGCCACCCAAATTTAAAGACAGATAGCAATGTACCTGTCACAAGCTAGCCCACCTTAAGCTGCTGAAATAAAAGGAAGCAAATTTAAGGTGTGTGGTAGTTTTTTCTGCGTGTTTGTCTTTTGTTTTCCATTTTGTGTCTTGCACTTTGTGTATCTGTAATGCAACCCTGTTCCTTCCTTCTTCTTCTATATATCTGTGGACGACGAGCCTTCTGCTCATTGTCCTGCAAGCTGTATGTGTCTCCTACATGGACCCTCTGCTTTGTTTTCTAATTATTGTCTCCCCTTTTTTTGAAGCACATTTTGCGTGGCATGTACATATGTACTACTGATCCTTGAAATTGTAGTTGTAGCCCGCAGCTTGATTTCACCACATTGATTTATTTGTTTAGTTTGGGTTGAGTGTTCTCTGCTGTGGATTTATTTATTGCTTTGGGGACTATTCTTGCTCTGTATTCCTTACTCAGATGCATTTTTTTTCTATGAGTAAAAAATACAGAGTGAGAATAATCCCAAAGCAATAAATAAGATTTTTTTGAATGCTTCATTTATGTTAAATAGTTCTACATGTGTATGTGGTGTATTAGTAACTGTATACACCAGGGGTGTCAACTCAAGGCCCATGGGCTGGATCCGGCCCGCAGGGTGCTTAGATTTTGCCCGCAGAGCCACCCTGGAAACAGTAAAGGACCGGCCCATGGTGCCTCTGCCAGCAAAAACGGAGCTTGAGAAAGCTGCATAGTTTTTTGCTGGCAGAGGAGAGGGTTGCAGGAAGCTGTACCAGCCAAAAACGGAGCTTGCAAGGCCACGCGTGATATTCTCAAGCTCTGTTTTCGCTGGCAGAGGGTTGCAGGAGATTGTCCCAGCCAAAAATGGAGCTCGGGAGCCCGTTTTCGCCGGCAGAGTGCTCAGGCCGCCACAGGCGCCCCTGACACGAGTGATGTCAAGCTGGCCACCTCCCCCCTGGCCACCTCCACCCCCGAGGTCAAATACAACCCTGATGTGGCCCTCAATGAAATTTAGTTTGACACCCTTGGTATACACTGTGGTTGGTCTTCACTTGTAAGCTTCCTGCTCTATATGGATTACAGCAACAATCTGAATTACAATGAATTGACCTGTAGTTACCTTATATGAAGTGTGATATTACTCGGCAGCAAACAATGCAATTGTTACGTGCAGCCCATCAGCCTTCTCCATGTGAGTGCATTCATAGCTTGGAAGAGACTTCTTAGTACATATCTGTGTGGCAGCCCATAGGCTGAAAGATTGCTCGTCCATGTAGTGGATCAAAAGTTAACAAACCTTTGGTGGCTGGGTGCAGTTTCCAGTGTCAAAACAACAATACAAAACAAGCACATTGGGGCTTTCTGCTTTTTCATGGATCTGGGGAACAGATATTTATTTTGTTTTTTTAAGAAATTATATTTAGCTACAGGTTTTGTATATTCAAGTTTAAATATAATTGTCAGAAAATTGTGAGAGTAATTTTCAGTGGTTGAAGTTGGAGGGGCTCCAGAGCCTATATACCAAAAGAACTTCAAGCTAGCCTGGGAATGTGAGCTGCTTAATCTTCTAGTAGATGAACAAAATACCTTCTGGGGAGTCGTCACTTGATTACCCAAATATCTACCAAGTTCAATGCCATTTTGTAGGTACTTAGCGGTAAAATATGGGAGGTTAACTGAGTAGCAGAACTGTTACTTGGTGATGCAAGTGGTTTAGGTTAATGATTGAGTCCAGCATGGGTAAAAGAAGAAACAGCAGCATATTGTGAAACTTAGTACATATTTGTAATCATATAAAACTCCTTGTTTCTTCATTGGATGAAGAACTGAAAGTGGTTGTTAGGATTGGTTATGCAAATATAGGTAGGCCTCGGTTAACGACCACTCATTCAGTGATAGTTCCAAGTTACAGTGGTGCTGAAGAAGTGATACTTAAGTCTCCTGTGCCTGGCAACAACCACCTCACAGTGCACATCTTGCCCCATATGACCATTTGTACACCTAACATGCCCTCCTTCTGGCAGGAATTATCCCACAGCTCTTGTGCTAGTGCTGCGCCACGCCAGGCCCTTGTACCCCTACCCCTGTCTTGCAGCAGCCACCCTGAGCCTTGATGTTCTTGTGCTGTGTGCTACACTGGATCCTCACATGCTGTCCTCTGTGTGTTCCTGGCCATCTATACGCGCCCCATCCCACAAGACACCAGTCACTTGCGACTTCCTGCTGGCTTCCCCACTGCTTTGATTATTGGAAGCCAGAAGGAAGTTCTCGGTTAATGACCACAAACTTTACCTAATAATGGCAATGCGGATTGCTCTTACTAAGCAATGCAGTTGCATGATATAGCATTTTACGACCACCTTGCTTAGTGATAGAAATTCCAGTCCCAATTACCATCATTAACCTGTGAAATAAGATATGCTTAGCTTGGCTGTCATCCTCTTAAATCCAGGAGCCTTATTTCTGACATAAAGTGATAGAAATACTGTTTTTTTAAAACTGGTAAAGTTTTAATTCTATGTCTTGCACAGGAAGTAAATTACAAAGGTAAAGAGTGGGACCTGGCTGTTTAGAGCAGGGTTGGGTTTTCCCACTGATACAGGCAGATTAAGCAAAAGAGCAAAGTATAAATATTTTTCAAGTTTAAGGTAATTTGTAAAAAAAAAAGCATATAGATGAGTAAGGCAATTGCAGTGAGTAAGAAGAGCTGAACCACTAAGGAAAGGGTTTCATTAAAAAATCACAGTGATTAGTAGCTATAAAAATAACAAAAAGCTTGAACTATTACTTGGTTGGCAGGAATTCTGTTTTACCTGGAAATATAGCAGCTCAAGGAGCAGAATTCAGAGCAGTTCCTTGAAGACTTCAATGTTCAGATCTGCTCATGGACAATGATAGTAACACTGTGGAATTTTCCAGATAAAATTGAATGAAGTTTATAAGCTCTGGTCTTTTAAAAAATGATGATGATGATGATGATGATGACGACAACAACAAA